TCCTGTAAACGTCACAATGTACAGACCCGTCATGTAAAAGACACAATAAACAGTTCCGTCCTGTAAATGTCACACTGTACAGTTCCGTCCTGTAACCGTCATACTGTACAGCCTCTCCTTGAATCGTCACACTATACAGTCTTGTCCCGTTATCGTCACAATGTACAGCCCCGTCATGTAAAAGGCACAATAAACAGTCCTGTCCTGTAAACGTCATACTGTACAGTCCCGTACCGTATTCGTCACACTGTACAGTCTCGTCCTATAATCATCACACTGTACAGTCCTGTCCTATAATCATCATACTGTACAGTCCCGTCCTGTTATCATCACACTGTACAGTCCTGTCCTATAATAGTCACCATGTACAGTCCCGTCATGTTATCGTCATACTATACAGTCCTGTCCTATAATCATCACACTGTACAGTCCTGTCCTATAATCATCACACTGTACAGTCCCGTCCTGTTATCATCACACTGTACAGTCCTGTCCTATAATAGTCACCATGTACAGTCCCGTCATGTTATCGTCATACTATACAGTCCTGTCCTATAATCATCACACTGTACAGTCCTGTCCTGTAATCGTCACACTGTACAGTCAATTGTTCATTATTTCTTCATAAAGAGAAACTGTCGACGTGTGATATTATTTTCAAAGATGAAAATATGTTTGTCATTTCATCACAAAGTTACAAATAGGACTTTCTTTCTCGAAAAGGTGTATTTTACAGAACGGATAGATCTTATTACTTCAGAGTTTCAAAAATACTTTTGTATGAATTTCTATGATATTTTTTACATTGTTAGAGTTGGCAAAGAACTGACACCAGACCGGATCTTATGTTTTTGACTAATTTCTGAGCTGTTATGGTAAATGACAAGGGAGGTAACTTCATGAGATGTCAGCTAATAGCCTATACAGATCAGAGCAACTTCAGCAATATAGCTATCGAACCTCGCATGCATGCTGCAGGACAGATGTGAGGATATGAGCATAAGCAGTTAAATGGTAAGGGGGATAACCAAATATGATATCAGCTAATAGCTATACGGATAAGAGAAAGCTTCAGCGGTAATGCTATCGAACATCACATGTGGGCTAACTACTGTACATGACGATAAGCAGAGGTTCCACCTGAGTCCAAGCATAACCCATGTATTACGGTTCAGTCAAGACTTGGCATGGTGGTTCAATTCCTATTTAAGTCTATGCACGTTAGTTGGGGTTGAAGCTTTAAATTGTAGCTGATCCTGATAGCCTGATAGTAGTTAAATGTTGCTGCCCTGTTGTTTACGACATTTTATCTTGCTCTCGATTAGTGCTTTGCTGACCCCTCTGTGATGTAACTTGTCCTTATGTAAGACTCTGATGTTGCTGACTTGGCTATGTGTGCACGATATTGCTCTGCAACATTTCACTTGTAAGAGGCTGAGCTCTGGCCTAAGAATCAAGGACACAGCCAAGACGTATGCGTCATGCTGGAGCACAGTTCACTGGTCTTTTGACGCTGACCTGCAGTTACCTGAACGTAAATTATCATGTCTTGAAGGCCCCAATCTACTTTGCACCCAGTCAAAGGCAAATGTTCAGCACATTTGGCAGAGAACAACTTATGATAGTCATAGAACACTCTACCATGCGTGTTGTGTGCTTCAACCAACATACCCTCGTACAAATCTAGTTCTCTTCTCCTGCTGGGAAACGCTTCTCCCATAATGCGCTTGAATTTTCCGAAAGGGGTGATGAATTGAGAAAGTGTCAAATGATCCGAAAGATTTTTCTGATTTAACTCGTTTTGGCCTTTGACTATTGTGTGTCCTTTCATACATTTAAACCCCGGAATTAAAAGCAAAGCCTTATTTACGTCTTTACCTTCAAGTATTGCTTTTCTCAAACTTGGTGAGACGATGTCCATTTGTGGGATCAAATTCGCCGGCATTCCATTGGGTCCCATGTTTCTTATCCAAATGTCCGGCACTGGTGGCGCAAAACCTGTCCGTCTGGAGGGCCTCATGGTCTCCGCAGGTAGATTTGCGTAAGTCAACGCTAATGTGTGTTCGGAGACAGATTCAGTGTTAGGGTCAAATGGGATATCAGTTGGTGCATCATTGTCATTTGCTGTTGTATGAGGCCCATCTGTTGCTGTCCTAACGTGGGCGTGGCCGTATTTGCTGTTGTGTCCATTTCCGACATGCGCAGAACGTTCGTAGGGGGGGGGGGGGGGGGGGGGACTATAATCTGTCGTTATGTTCCTACGCGGTTGGGCTGCTAAGGCAGATGAAACTATTCGCGAAGTAGTTCCTTCTGTGTTCTGAAAGTTTACAGGATTGTTCTGAAGATTTGTCGAAGTATTCTTTGCAGTGTCTCGAGGAACGTTAATTTCCGCCTCGGTGGTCGTATAAGCTGCAGCAGCTAAGGCAATGTCTTGATCAGCTGCTGCTGCGGGGGCACTTGCGAGGAAACCCATGCCATTTGGCGCCACATCTTTGTTTAGCTCGTACAATGTTTTTAACACTGGTTTAGGAGTGTTGTTTGCCGTAATTATGCCCCTATTACATGTACTCTGTTCTTCTCTGAATTTCGTAACAGTCCAGTTTAATGGGTTAAAGAGATCGTACGGGACTGCCCGAGATCTTGTGTTCACACGATTCGGTCTGTTAGCCATTGTTACAAATGTAAACACACACACGTGCGGTTTCCTTGAATTGTCTTAACAGATGTGCGGAACACAGATATTGAATACAACAAGTTCAAAATAATTCTGATTTAGTTATTCGTCTTAGAAAAGAAAAACTCACCGTAATGCAGTGTCATTGTAACTGACCATCACGTTACAACAAAGCATATGTAAACAAAAACGCACGTTTGGTCGTGTCCAGTGCCGTACAAAGTAAAACCTCTAGAGGAAAGAAAATTGCACTTGTCGACTTGAAAGACATAGTTTTCTTCACAATCCTCGGATAGAAAAATGATGAAAATTGATATTCCGATGGTACAATACTGAAATTGACTGAGAACAATAAACAGTCCGACACTCTCCTACGAATTGCCTAGTAAGCTACTGACGCTGATTGACTGTCACGTGACTGTACTGTCCAGTCTCCTGACGTTTGACCAGTCACGTGGTCTTGACTGAAGCTATATTTACATATGATTTAATTTTGCCTATCTCCCCCATAATTTTGTTTTGGTATATATCGTATATACCTAAATGGAAAAACAACTGATGACGGAACTACTTTTTACACTTCAGAATGCAAAATTACAACGCAGGTTTGTTTTAGCGCAATTGTTTAGTTTACGTACAGAATAAATAAAGCTTTAACTGTGCATTTACAACGTTTTTGTCTACCGTTTTTAAAATTAAATTATAAAGAATGCTCAAGATTTTGTTTTGGTTTATACGGTATATACCGAAAATATATCTGGGTCATTCCTTAAATATACCAACGAGTATGCATTGAAATACATAACCAACCCTCCCAAAGCATTCTAATTAGACATTAAATTAAAAGATATAACAAAGGATGAGAAACATTGTACTTTAGTGTTGTATATACACAAATCTTATTTAATATCATTGCATAATAAGATTTCCAAAAGCGTAACAGCGCCTGTCAAATCCTTTATTATGTGACACATTTACATATCGTGCTAAATTATTCGTTCACTAGTATTTCAAGGGAACGATGAAAGTTACAAGGTTGCATCAAGCTCAATTAAAACAAGCAAATTCGTGGAATCTTTATCCCCCGCTTGCAGGACATATTGTGGGTTAACATTATGGAGGTTAGGTTTAAACATGTGAGTATCGTGCTGTTGAAACATTATGTAAAGCTTAAAACTTGAAGAAAAGGAAAAAAACGCCTATACCTCATTGAGTATCCATTAATATGCACAAATCACATCGGTTGGCAAACTTAGCATGAGTCAGATGTGCATACGGAATTTGGTTGAAACATCTGAACAATCAGACGAAAAACAAAGAGTGCCCAAGATGGGTGAACAGACAGAGGAACACAAACATTGTTATCAAGTTTGTAGGAATTTGGCTAATATTTGCTAGAGTTATTAAGCAGAAACTGCAGATAATGGCGTTTTTCGTTAATAAAGGGCCCATAACGTTNAGCCCTTAAGGTATTTAACACTTTGATAAAGTTTGAAGTAAATCGGTCAACATTTGTTGTAGTTATTGCACGGAAACGAAGCGTGACAGGCAGACAGACAGACAGACAGACAGTGATAGCCCCCGTTTCGGTGAAATCGGGGGATAAAAATGTTAACATACAGCCAAAACAATTACAATGTCTTACGGTTATTTGACGTTTTAACTGACATAAGGTAATTGATGTGGTAAGCAAACAGTAAACCGCAGGCGATTGTGAATGGAATCGATACTCATTTTGTTCACTCTATGAATAATGAATAACTTCACATTTTGATTATAGAAATGCACGCTATGGTAATTGACTGTCCTTACATGTAACATTACATCCATCTACCTGAACAGAGCTTTTAAGGTTTTATGTGTTAATGTATCACATTCCTGTGGTTTGTTAAACGTTGTATCACCTAGCAGTGCAGAAACCAGCTTACATAGGGTAAACACTATATTAACATATTTAAAAGAAAATATTGCAATAACCAGCAACATTAAACAAGTATCTATTTTGCTCTTTAAACTGTTGAAGCGTACAATGAGGTTATAGCGACGTTAAAAATGCAAATTGCCTTTGACGTTTTAAATAAGTAATCTCGGAAAACCTCAAGTTTTATTATGTCGACGTGTTAAAGTTTCCGGTCGAATTAGCTCATATTTAATTTGAATTCTGCACAAAATAACGTACATCGGGTGTAGCCTTGCTTCATAGATCTTCTTTACAAAAGCAAACAGACTGGGGTTGTCAAGGTCTGCGCCTGTCGTCAAACGAAATTAAACCTTGTTCGTTATATGTAAACCAGGCAGCTTGTGAAATACATACATGTACATTTAGGCAGGAATGGACAGTCTGCAGGAACAATTCTCCGAATTTGGAACAAAATTACGACAGACAGATTTTGTTCTGGAGGAGGGATACACCTTCATTAATCATGGGTATAAAGGCGCTGTCCCGAAAACAGTAATTGCAGCAGAACAAAGGTGGGTGAAACTTTTGTAACTATTAAGCATAATGTATTATCATGTCATGCCAGTGTATAAATAGAAAAGAACATTAAAACAGAATGAAGGTCTGTTGTAATCGTAGCATTGCTCACAAAATATATAAGATTACCCAATCCGTAGTCAATGTCATATCATATTTGAAAACAAAATAGTTCGTCTCTACTTAGAGTACAATGGATCGGAAAAACGATCTGTCTTCAAGTCAGTATCTCGCTGGGCGTCTCCCCCCCTCTCTCTCTATATATATATATCTCTATCTATCGATCGACTGACTCGAAACCTCACGGGAAGCGTAAAGACGAATGATATCAAAGTAACCGATATTAAAAAATGTGACATACTTTGGATAAACATAGTCGAACGATCCTAACCAAGAGAATAACTTACGTAAACAATGTAATTCAGGAAAGATAAGCTACTGGATAGTTACGCCCTGTTTCATTGCTCTAGTTCTTATTCAGGTTGTTAACGTTATTACGGTCGGTGAATAGTTTTGTCCGAATATGAATGAATACGAAAATGATTTTTGTTGTTGTTCAGCTTGAAGGGGCTTTTAGTCTAGATTTCTTCAATATAGCTTGAAATTGAAATTGGCTGGTTGAGTGACTTATCGGATATTGCTCTTGCCTTTAACTAACTCGGCAAGGGTATGATACTCCGATAGAGCGTGAAGAGGTTTATGACCTGCCTGACCACGTAGGTTTTATCTGGGTATCTTAGTTTCTTTCCAAAATTAAGACCCTCTGCACGCTTCAATACGGGTCAACAAAAGTTGTTTATTAATATAAAAACTTACTCATAATTTTTAATTACTTTATGTTTTGTTAAACATTAAAACGACTTTCTTATTATCTTAATTCCTTGTGATTAGCTCATTTCTTTAATACAACGTAATAACTTGCGATCTTAACAACAGAGTACTGTATATATTAAGGTGAATCATACACGTTTTCTTTTATAAAGATGTTTGATCATACAAAAGTCACAAATCTTATCATTTCTTGATTGAGTGTGAAGTATCAGTCTTTGCGTTTTATATAATGTTACTATCAAGAGAAGCAAGACTTCAATGTATCACAATTACATTGTGTTATATAGTTTGTAACCTCAACTAGCTTGGAGGTAGGAAATCTTGTTGTGAAATATAAATTGTTATGAGACATAAAGACAAGTGTCTCGTGTGTAACAATTGTAATATAATCTCTCAAACCCTTGGGTCAGATAGGGAAATCACAACCCGAGGCGGAAGATTTTTGAATTGCCAAACTCGAGGCTTTGCCAAATGTTCGGCAACTTAAGAATCTTTCCCCGAGGGTGTAGATTCCCCTATCTCACCTCAAGAGGGCGACTGATTCTTTTTCTCTTAGCCTTTTCACCCATATTGTGTTATATTCAAGTGTAATGTTAACGTTAAGATTAAACATTAAGACAAAATATTTTTGTAAAATTTCACATTCTTTCTTTCTTGGAGATTCCAAGATGAGGTGAAGAGACAACCTGCTAATTCTTTCATGAGAAAAAAACTATCAGCATGGATAAACGGTAGGGACTCGGTTGCGGAGTTTCTAAACGCAGATCCAAATGACGTTGTCCTTGTTCCAAATGTAACTTCAGGTAAAATTCAAGTGCTTAAAATATAATCCTATTTACGATTTAAGTATATCAAATGCCACCAAATTTTCAAAACGTTTCGAAAGTCATCTCAAGTACATGTATAGATGCATAAATTCCGATCAAAGTTTTCCAGCTGACACCGTTAAAAATTAACATGATCCGAATAATTTAAGGAGATATGTTATAAGGATACATGTATGTATGATAATAATCAAAGTGTTTTCCATATATATTTGGTAACATGCGGAGTAAGCCAATGTTTATCATGAGCCAACCGTTCCGAATGTCAGCATGGTAAAAATAAGAATGGTCCTCTGTCGCTCTATACTTACTACAAACCGTTCCGAATGACACCATGGCTACAAATATTGCAAAATCCGTCATCAACGGGAGAGTACGAACATTAGCTTCAGGTCATCCCAAACCACTGACAATCTAAATTGATACAATGCAATGTTAGGATGTGACATTTGCTTACAGAACGTCGATCTACTGTTATGGTTGTATGCACTTGTAGTTCGATAAAACATTCAGTTGTAGATGGGCCACATTTACATTTTATTCTGACGCGTTGTAGGTATCAGCTCGATCTTGATGTCGATTCCTTTTGATACGGGAGACACAATTCTGGTCACCAACCTGTCATTTACGTCTACGAATAACGCATGCGCACAGCTCTTGCATCATCATAGAGGTTAGCATATAATAAACGTAGTGGTGTTCTTTCTACGAAACATAACTGGCAAACAAATGTTCTAATAGTGTGTTAACAAAACTAATGAGGAAACATATATTACGTTTGTCAAACCAGTCTTTGGTTTATTATTAAACGGTGTAGGCTTTTTAATGTCAGTCATTTAATGTTGGACTAAAACGTTCCTCACCTTGCATCTTTATTAAACAGCATGGAAGAAAGTGTCGAGTAAATGTAAATCTATACAGTTTGTTTCATGTGTTGTGTATTTTACCTGAAAGCCAATGTGGTTTGCAAAGCGTAACTGTAAGATGTTCAAAGTAATTAATGAAAAATAAATATGTTTAGACTTAAATACGAGTGAAACTGATTGAAGGTGTTCTTTCACGTACAGGTGTGAAGACCAAGGTGCTCAACATTGTCGTTCCCATCGACAATTCAGCTCAAGTCGTCAACTTGTTTGAACAGGCGCTGAACAATGATTCAAACATCCGAATCGCCGTCGTTGGTATTGTATGAAAGCATGTGCACGGTCTTTTCAGTATTAACTTTTCATTTTGATTAACGTTTTCTTAAATGATTACCTCCCCTTCCTACTAATGTTACCTATCGATCAAAGGCAAGAATAAACACAAATAAATAATAATCTTGTTTGTTTTTTTCAGATTATATCTCATGCTCGTGCAGTATGCTGCTTCCGATGACAGAAATTGTACAGCTTTGTCAGAAGCACAACGTTATAAGTGTCATTGATGGGGCGCATGCTCCTGGACAACTTCCGCTTTGTCTTCACAAAATGGAAGCTGACTTTTTCACAGGTATGAACCTGCTAGTTGTTGTGCTAATTTTAAAAGAAAATGCATTTTGAATCATAACGCCAAGCACACATTTTAAAACAAAACGTTATACGGAACTAAATAATAATACTGACTGAATAACCTTGGTACTATGTTTTCCCTTTAACTGTTTTAAAATACTTCGGAGTGTTACAATTTGTATGTATAACAGTGTAATCAACTGTGATATTATATACTTGGGCAATACAGTGTGCAACGTTGATAACAGTGCTGCCATAAGTCTTTGAAGGAGCTTAATTAGTACTGTTTAACAGATAGAAACCTAACGAAAATCAATAATAATGACACCATTTATTAAAAATGTTCGCATATTCAATGATCAATACACTTTTTAAACGTTATATTGATTAACTATCGGTAGTATTGTACGTATTTGAAATATTTTTTATACTGATCTTTCCACTACAACTTGATAAAGCCTGTAATTTCATGTGTCGCCATTGCATGTTTGTTGAGTCAGAATATGTGTCATGGAATAGAATAATTTTACATGTGATTGGCATTAGAAATAGTTGGTTTGGGTGGTGGTGTGGTCGGGTGGCACAGTGGATAACATACTCGAGTTTCACTATGGCGGGCCGGGGTTTGATCCCCGGTCAGGCGTGCAACGGTATGGGTTCATTTGCCCGACCAAGTGGGTGTTGGTTTCACCCCACATTAAAACCCTCATCCTGGCGAACAAAAGTGATTGCATGTAGTATAAGGTGAAATAATTTGTTTTATAATTATTGTTTAATAGATAAAGTTTATATTTTTACCGACACGGTGCATGTTTGAATGGCGACCGTCAAAAGCGAAGGTTATTAATGCGCTGGATCGAGATAAAATCAGATAAAAACTATCGAGTACCTGAAATAGAGGTTGACTAAACTTACGCTTGAAACGGTTTATTTTATATTTTTATTGAAAAGTATTTTAGGCCTCTCATATGGAAAGCATTGTCAATTTTAGTCACCTAGATTATTTGCATACCGCTGAAAAATGTATATCCTAATATCCTAATGACTTGTTATACAGAAAATGTCGTATGTTTAAATATAACGCAAAATCACTATATTTCAAAAACTTGTCATTAAAAATTTAATGGACTCTATTGTCTGACCTTCAGTAACATAAAGAGAGGAGGCAGTGCACACATATCATATACACTATAAGCGCCTGGAGGTTAACGACCGACATTATACATGTACTTGTCCCAGATACTCTAAACATATATACCACGGAGTACATAATCAAGACCGTAACTCGCAATACACCAATAACAGAAATGACGACATTACAATTTATATGAAAACCATATCAAAGCCAGATGTCTTGGAAGGATTATTGATACCACAGGTGCCTCATGTCATGATGTGTCTCGCCTGGACAGTATGAGGGCCAAGAAGTCCACTAGTCTGTGTTACGGTAGAAACATATATCAAATTTGCACATCTGGTCAAGATGATAATCATAGTTATCTTAAATAAACTTGTATCACGAGATTTTTGGTTTCAGGAAATTGTCACAAATGGATGTTTGCGCCATGGGGATGTGCCTTTGTGTGGAAGAATAAGAAGGTTACTTTCCCGCTGAGATCCCTCACTAGTTCATCTCCAAATGACGACCTTGTGTCACAGTTCTGTATTCAAGGCACTAGGGACGACAGTTGTTACAACTCCCTACCCACCGCTGTAGAATACATCAGATCTAAAGGAGGACTAGTGAGTTATCAAATATACAGTGCATAATTACATTTTCTGATCCCTCCTTCCTCCCCTCAAAAACCAACAAGAAACAACAATAAAAACAATGATGTTTTGTTGCAGTTCGCAAGGAAATGAACAAGTGTATCCAAACTTGGTTTATCATTTGAAGTTATTTGAGTCTTGCGCTATATTTTAATCAAACTTACATGTAGCTAAATTCATTTAGTTTGCCCTTCAGTGTACCTCGAGACGTGATGCAGAGTAAAAAATATAACCAGCTCGATTAAAGAAAGATCTTCATTTTGTAGGAGAGAATATCAGAATACAACACAAGACTTTTACATATGGCGTCAGACCATCTGATATCGTTGTGGAAGACGAGTAAGCTACTGATCCCATCCTCCATGGAGCCGCCGTTCCTGAGGTTGATACGTCTCCCAGAAATCCCTGGCTTCGGGACCTCCAAGGTAGTCAGGAAAACTGAAATGTTTGGTTTAAGAATTCCTACATACTTTCATTTCTAAAATGTTTTTAGTATATATCATAATAAATAATTGTTTATGTAATGGTTAAAAGAAGGACATATTTTTGTATGGCAATTTATATGTTATTCCAAATAGTATATATCTTTTTATCCTAGGTATTTGCTATGTTACCTGACAGCATTTTTTTAAAACATTTTCTTCACGTTGGTAAGTATGTACTGACAGCATTTATTTCAACAAAGTAAACTTTCAATCAGACAACAATAACAAATACTTTCAAATGTGAGAAGAAAGCTTCATAATAAGCACGTAGTGTGTCACCATTGACTAATAATAGCTCATTCGTGCTACATATAAGCTACATATTCAATAGATTTGCACATGATCTAACGCATGCATCACAAAGATAAGTTAAATACAAAGACATGAAATAACATATAATATAATATACATCAATATAGATGACATAACATATCCAAAAAGATAGTGAATAGTTGGATGATCTACTTTTCTGATGTTATTATTAATAGGAAGATGCTAACTCACTGATGGACCTCATGTACGAAAACTACCATATTGACGTCTCTATGAAGTCCGTGAACAACCAGCTGTACGTCCGTTTGTCTGTCCAGATCTACAACTGTCTTGAGGATTACATGACATTGGGGGAAGTGGTGATGTCGATGGCTGGGAGGGAAACAACAGATATCTGAATATTGACAATATCGACAAGTATAATTAAGTTGATAATTGAATAATTTTAATACTCAGATAAACATACAGGGAAGCAACATACCTACTCTACTACAATAGTGTAAGAATAAAAGTAACATGTAACGCCGTTTCAACTGGCTAGAAATCATTTGCTTTTACTCAGTAATTGGGAATATTTTATACTCATATCCGTATATTTAGGAGACTTTAAAGCTCCTTTTGATTGATCGGACTTGTAAGTGGCAATATACATTTACTCTGTCCATTGATATACCAATTTGTATGTTCATTCGACAAAATGACAAACGACAACGAAAACATCATCTTTCATGTACAAAATCTGTTTTCCAATCAATCATGTCGGAATAAAATATCATATCGATTTCTTTAATCCGTCTTTTTTCAAAAGTGAGCTTGCACTTGATAATTAAGTAGAGATATATTTTCATTAAATTCTTTTTATGAAGCAAGACGCTGAGTTGTACAACCTATATGAAGCACTGTTTAAGGATTAACTTGAATATATTTTTCATGTTATGGAGCTATAACACAAAAAACCGGACTGTACTCTAAATAAACCGCGAAGCCGTTTATGATGAGAGTACACTCCGTTTTTATTTGTGTTATAGCTCCATAACATGAAAAAGATATTCAAGTTAATCCTTATAATTTAATCTACTATACACAATCCCTGTGGAAATCCACTTTTATTGATGGACTCTTTTTTTTAGAAACTATTGCGCTGCTGTATCAGCCAAACAAAAGCGACGTTACAAACGGCGACGTCATCTTTTTACGTTATGGGGTGATAACATAAATTTTTGAGCCAATGAAAATGCTTGTTACAAGCAAGATTAAATTATTACAGATGATCAAGGATATGTGTAAGTCCAGCAGCCTATACACTGACCTAAACAACGTTCTTACAATGAGCATGACTGACAGAAACACGTTCCGGAGATAGTGCAGCCGTATATAGCTGTACTCCTGAGGGGTCGATGTCGACCAGGAGTGAATAACTGCATTCAGTGAAAGGAAACATTTCGAGTCTATAAAACTCGCTCCATTACTTTACCAACTAAAACGCCATCTTACAAAAAAATGGTTTCATGCGTTTCGCGATCCCTAGTACAATGCATGAGAAACTCGCTTAAAGGCAATTTGCCAAAATATATTCTCTGGTCACAACTACATAATACATGAACATGATATGTATGTAATGAAATGAAATGAGATAAGGCGCCCCTCGTCTATGTAATTGAAGTTGATTATATTTCACAATGAATCAAATAGCTTGCTTGAATTTGAGCTACACCCTACCTGTAACCTATCTGATGCAGTGTGTATATACACTTTGGTCACATCGCTGTCCAGGTAAATAATACAAATCGCTCACTCATTCATAGCTTGACAAAGGGACCAGTCGGTCTTGAAACGTTGAGACACGTTTCATAAGTACTATGTTTGTATAAAAAGTAAAACTTTGATATAGTTTGCTTATGTCACCGGTTGCTCAGTTTTAACACCAAAACACGGACAAGCTGTGTATGCAAATATCTTTCGTTTACTAGCTCCGAGAAACCTACAATACAGGACAATACAATAAATACATTCACCCTCACATAAACATACAATAAATACAACACAACCTCTGAATACAGCCCGCTATAAATTTAATTCAAATAACTAAATGTTACAACCACACGATAGTTATTACATTAATACTGTTATACATACCGGGTATGATTTCCTAGTATAGCTTGCTAATAAATACTGGCGGAAATTGTGTCTTTACGCCTCTATACAATCTGGATCACAGATCCTTCTCTTACGACTCGGATTGTTAGAATGACCACTGGGCAGTAAGTATTTACCCAGAAGCCGGAATATAGTGGCGGGAGTATAGGGTGCTTTATTCATGCAAGGGGCAGGTCCAAGGACTACGTCGTAAGTACAATTCAGTCAGAATGTTGAAACAGAACATAAGAACACAGGTGTACATGCATTCCGAACTGACTATGTCACATACACTGTTTACCAAACGGGACAACACACGTGTATACAGACAGTCGACAGCACTCGTTGTAATATATATATATATACACACAACATATACATATATATCTTATATATACCCGGGTTACATACTCCCATGCTGGGGGAAAATGTCTCCCACATTTGTAATTACCTTAAAATAACTTGGACTAAAAGTAAAAGTAAGTCAAGTGCTCCGCAACCGTTCAATGTATCTGCTGGTCAAATAACAGGTGGTACATCAAAATAGTTGATAGACTACTGACGTACGATACCACAGCATAGCATTACAGACACTTCGAGGCAGGCGAGTAAAAAGTATTTCATATCCAATAAAACAAAGTAACTTGACACTAAATAAAAAGAACACAACAGGATCCGAGAAGAGACATAAATAAACCAGTTCTCAAACATTTCTGAGACTGTGATAGGTGTTGCGGAAAGTCAAACGCATTTTACATGATATTATGTTAAACCTGTCGTGATGTCTGTCACCTTGTTGAAAGTCAACATATTTCTAAACTCCAGTGAATATGTTTTAAATTATCTATGCACTGGAATGCTTTAGCTGCAAATCAGATGTAAATAAAATCCACTACTCTTTGTTATGATAAACTGAACCTTATTTTTTTCATACCATATGTATTTTGTTCACATAGATTCAATGAGGCGACAAGCCGGTAGATATTTACGGTGGCCCATTAGAGCTATAATATAAAAATGATTTCTTAATGACTGCCACTCATTTTCTGGAAACAAAGCCGCCAATTCCTTATCACATGGATGTTTATAAATCTATAACTTATTCATTTACTTTTGAAATACGCAACAGAAGTCTTAAAAAATCTTCACAGATTCAATTAGACGATGAAAAAATATATACTGTTGCCCGATTCATACAATGCACGTGCGCGCACCTTCTTAAACACATTCAAAGGCAATCTGGTTCACCTAAATTGAACCGTTACGATACTTCAACACGGATTCCAACATCATATGTATTATACGAGAGTCTACATGTCATGAAGCCAACAACAGCTGGTCACTGTAGGTCAGTTTTTCCTCCTAATTTAGTGTTCTTAAACTGTCGCTCGTTGTCCGAATACCCCGTGGTATAATGAAAATCTCCGCGTAGGAAAACAGAACCGTAGATAGCAGAGAGACGGTGGAGAATGACCAAATTAACCGTTCACTAACAGATTTAAAGGGAACAATGTTTAGACCCACCAAAAACTTTATGGGTCAGAAAGGTGAAATTATTCTACCAAGCTATAATTCTGAAAAAGACTTGTTTGACAGGTTCAGTGATTACTTTCTGAATAAAATCAGCTCGATCAGGAAGAGTATACTGGAGTCAACTCTACTGCTGACAATGATATCTCTGTCATGACTAAATTAATTTGATGGGGAACCATTGGAAAAAAATATCTCACCAACAACCCAGGACGAGTTGCGCAATATCATCATGACCTCGCAATCGAAGTCCTGTGAGCTTGATCCACTGCCTACAGACCTATTAAATCAATGTCTTGAAGCACTGCTTGCTTTGATTACTTCAATCTTGAACAAATTATTTGCTAAGTCAAAGGATCCATTGTGTTTCACGAATGCACATGTTAGACAAATGTTGAAGAAGCATAGAATGGACAAGAAGAAGTTGAAGTACTATCGCCCAGTATCAAATCTGCCTTTTCTGTCTAAGATCTACGAGAAGGTTAACGTTGTGTCCCGGCGTTTAGAGGTTATCCATGCAAACAGTCTCCATGACAACATGCAATCGGCCTACTGCATGGGACACTACTGAGACAGCCCTCCTACGTGTACACAATGGCATAGCTTCTGCATTGGATAACAATTGCAGAGCGGTGCATGCCATGCTGGATTTGTCAGCTGCAGTTTACGTCATCGACCATTGCATACGTTATAAACGTCTGGAGTACTCTTATGGAGTGACTTATACAGCACTATACTGGATACAGTCTTATCTGAGTGAACAACGACAATGTGTTGCCATCGGATCTACCACCTCACATGACAAAGTACTAGATTTCGCGGTTCCTCAAGGGTCGGTGTTAGGACCAATAAAGTTTTGCCTGTACTCCATTCCGATCGGAGAGATTTGTCGTCGCCATAGCCTTTGTTATCATTGCTATTGTGATGACACACAAATTCACATGGTCATCAAACCACAGGACAGTTGGGATACAATTACAGAAAATCTGAAGCCTTGATGAACGCCAATAGCTAAATCTTAATCAGGAAAAGATCGAACTAATCGTCTTTTCAACAAAGTGTCAGCAAACAATGGCTCTCCATCTGAAGGTCGGTGCCAGAACTATTGAGACTGTCCCAGCTGTTAAAACCCTAGGGGTAAATTTGTATAGTTCACTGAAAATGGTGGCACAAGGAAACGCTTTTGCCAAATCCTGTTACTACCACATCAGGAACATCGGCTGTATTCGGCAGTTTATAACTGCAGATACATGCACGAGTTTGGTGCATTCACTTGTTACTTCTCGGTTGGATTATGGTAACGCCTTGCTCTGTGGTATACCTGACGAACTAACTAGTCGTCCGTAGAGGTTCCAGAACACTGCAGCACGATTGGTTACTCGTACTCGAAAGAGAGAGCACATCACACCTGTGCTATATGTATTGCACTGGTTACCTGTACGATACAGGTCGTAGTACACATTCTAGCGTTCACATACAAGGCACTGAATGGGACAGCTCCCCAGTACCTAGAGGAGCTTGTTACCCTGTATCAGCCGTCATGATCACTGCGGTCGGAGTCATAATCATTGTTGTGTATCCCAAAATCTCGAACTGTGACCTATGGAAACCGGTGCTTTGGGAGGGCTTCGGCTACGTTGTGGAATAGCTTACCATCTGCTTTAAGAAAGTCAAATACCCTGGCCAAATTCAAGAAAAACATCAAAACTCACATCTTCATGTCTGTATTTTCGTCTCTTTGCAAAGACGTCATGAAAATACCACCCTTTATTTTTTTCATTTGTGTGCACATTGCGATGATTATCTGCTTGCTTAATGTATAAAAGTTATTGTAAGCGTTTGTTTTTTGTTTCACAATTATTTTACAAATCATAAAGGGCGCTATATAAATGTTGTTTATTATTATCATATTTAACACATATGCTACAATTTCTTTTGATGGCAGTACCTGTATTTATCTTTTTTCCTAAATGTATTTTTCACCCGAGTGAGAAATCGTGCAGAGGTAAGAAATCGTGTTGCGAACTCAGCAATTTTAGCACGATTTCTCACCCGGGTGAGAAATCGTGTCGGGTTGAGAAATTGTGCCGTAACAACGTTTCTATTTTTGACAAG